CGTCCCTTCTCCAGCGCACCTCCCCGTATTAGTGGACGATTTCCATCAAGCATGAGTCACCACCTCATTTCTCCAGTGGGTGTTGCTCAGGCTCCGAGACTGGCAGCTGGATCAGTCTTGGCACACTGCGCCTTGCTGGGACAGGAGCGCTGCGAATTTTCACCAGCAATCAAGATGTGCGCTTGGTCGGTGTGCATAGCGAGGGCATTGGGCAGTTTGTTTGTAAGCGGAAAGATGAAATTAGACCAAAGAGATCAAAGGTCTCAACGACGGACACGTGGCAAGGTAAGAATAGAGAAATACCACAACTTCTGCCCGCCTCCAGTGCGCCCGAGGAATGAAACGCGAAGAAAGAAAGCGGCGCATATCCCGCCAGCCTAGACACTCGCAACAACATGGACTCATGATTGAAGACGACACTAGAATCTTCTTTTCATGTCCCTCACTTTTTTCGTACCGGTCTTCCCTGCGGCTGCCTGGCCCGTTTTGTGTAACCATGGTGACTGCAGTATGTAATGGCAGCACAGGTTGTTTGATGTGCGGGGGGATGCTGACAGAAGACCCCAAGTGGAAATCTGATCCTGACAGAAAAGCAATAGCAATAATGTTCGAGGTCCAGCCTCTTAGTGTGGACCCTTGGTGTGACGACACCATCTGGTAATGTCGCACCGTGGTATGCCTTAAATTGTAAACTCTTCTCTGTCCACCATGACAGAAAAGATAATTTATTCTCTTCAAGCCCGTCGTTGTTTCCGTTTTCCATTCTCATGCCCATAACATAAACTGGCAAGCGTGTCAGAAAATATGGGATCCATTGGCGATGATGGACGACACAAAAACACACTGGACCATTGGTCTGCAAGCGAGGTAGAGCGAAATGCAGCCGAGACAATTTCGTAGCACGCACAGAAGATTGTTGCTTGAAGTGCGCTCCCTGGATTGGAAATATTGACGGAAGTGAGGTACATAGTTGCAAGGATGCAAAACGCGGAAACGAACGCTGCATTGACCCTTCAGGGCATGGCTACTGGATAGTCCATCCGGAGAATTAGCAGGATTTTGTTGTGTAAACTACTATGGGGTAGCAGGGTTACTCAAGTTATATACTGGGAAGTAATAATGAACATGATATTGTACTTAGATTGGACAGAGGAGGCTATTAGCTTTCCAAAGGTCTTTGAGTCATCCCAAATGGGTAAGCGGTAGTGAAGTTATGGCTAGTTAAACCTGTAGCACCTAAGGACGGGCCCCTACCGTACTTGGGGATGAGATACTATTGATACGGGTACACTCGATATATTGTCTTGTACATTGCGTACTGCTGCGCGCAGGGGTCATGTGACCGACCCCGCATGATAGCCTGTAATTCCATCCGGTGCCCACTCGCCTCCCCGCGGCTGCACCAGCAGGCCGCAAGGCGCCGCGCGCACCCACTGCACGTACGGCCGCCCCTCGCCCGGCGAATCCGCAGGCCTGGGCCCACACTGCGCATCCGAACACACGAGCGCCCCGGAAAGCCCGTCGGCCATCCGGCGGAGGGGCCCCACGGTCCTATCGGGGGCCTCGGTGGGCGCATCGCCCACGAACGAACCAAAAACCACGCCAGCTTTGATGCAATATTGACAGGCCCATGTATCCACTCTATCCTTCAGAGCTCGTGTCTGCAGAGCGGCGTTGATGCAAGGGCCTTTGGATATTGCACCGACGCCTACAAATTGGGAATGGCACTCCAAATGCGCCACCCAGCCTCGAAGCCAGCAGAGACGCGAGGCTCCTTCAAATCTCGGCGAGTTGGTGGCGGCTGCTGTGAATGATCTCCTAGCCGCTTGGCACCCTGTGAGCTTTAGTGAGCAAGACGTTGACGCTTAGCGCATCGCGTTTCACTTGATAGCGTGCACCGCGTGGTAGCTTGGGGTCATTTGAACGAGCCGCTTGGGCAAAACTGCTTGTGGGACAAAGTCCTGCGAAGAGTCATAGGAGGCCAGAGCTCGGCCAGGATGCCTAAGGTGTCTTGAAAGTGGTCGCAAAGCCTGAAGGGTGGTTTTCGTGCAAAAACTCGAGCACAAAAGCTTGGCCTCCGTGAGCTTGTTCCATACACAGCATTGTGCACGGAAACCTCTGTGCGTTTGAATGCCGGGGCAAGACGGAATGGGCATGCATGGAGAAGCATAGGCGTTTTCAGAAATCCGCTGCACGCGACATATTCCGGTACTCCCCAGCGGTCGCAATGTCAGGTGCACCATAATTTCAGAAGATGAACTGAAACCATGTGCTTATGTTGTACTCGCTGCTGCGACTCCTAAAGTTCTGTGGCGAAAATCAATTGGCATAAAACGGCATGAAATCGATGTTTTGGCACATGTGCTCACGTTGTGGCGATCGACGACGTATGTCATATTATTCACGAAATTCAGACACGAAAACGACAGTGCAGCACAAGGTGCTTCTAGTACCTTCTCTATATGCAAACGGGTCTCCGGGTTTGAACCTGAAAATTCATAATTCTCATTACATAAGCACGTCGCAACAGCTGGCGCGGTCGCTGATCACTCACCATTATAAACATGAGTATGTGCATCATCTGGCAAACAAACAAAAGTTATCACATTCAAACAAAGCTGTTGTTCGCGTCGCCGGGCAACTTCAGATTCAACAGCTTCAACCGATGTTGGCATGTCTACGGCTCCCCTTGAATCGGAAAATTTCAAAAGCGCAAGCCTGCGGGAATTGAAAATTAGCTCTCCCCTTCTCGAAGAACATTAACTTTGTCCATTGTTTCTACAATCTGCCTCCCTTGTGCTCATCATATATTTCAGCAAACAGCGCCGGCCCTTTTTTGAGATACTCCTCAGAAACATCAAACAATGGCTGCTCAACAAGCGTAAGACCCAGCGCAGAGTAGGATTTTGCCTGTCCCTGGCGATCATCATGGGCCCTGTGACAGTGAAAGTGCACCAAGTGGTAGTACCCGGGACTTTTGGCAGTCCATTGCTCAGATGGAGCCTTGATTATTCCGCGCCATAACAACTCGACCTTGACTCTCAGGTTTCCTGTTTGCACTGCCTCTACCGCAGGCTGTGATACTGTGCGATACCCAGCGTGCCATTCCCCACATGTTCACGCCACCATGATGAGCATACTCAGAACAGGGGATGCTGACAGGGGGCCGATGGCAGGGCCTGCTCCAGTGAACTCCGCGCAATGGAGCAGTCCAACAAAAGTGGCAGAAATCGACCCGGATCCTACAATGCCTCCCAATGCAGGGCCTGGAAATCTGGAAACTGGCCGACAATCTCGATCCTCACCTTGAACTAGCTTTCGTGCAAAATGTCGGTAAGGGGGTCATGGAAAACAACAGAACATGCATCCTCTTCCCTTTTTGTGCACCCAGAAATGGCAATGTTGTGCACAAATTTATTTGTTTTCTGACGGCCAATCTTGAGCACAACCGTTTTGCCCAAAAAACACATAATTGTGATGGTGAACACAAGTGCAGCCTTTTGGACCTTACCGACATTTTGCACGAAAGGCTGTTCTTGGTCTTGTTGTCCAGACTCACATACTGTTCTCGGGATTCCTCGCAAATGAGCAAAGCTGCAAAGCATGCATATTCAGCGCCGCAGCCGTTGCCACTAGTGCCAGTACTGGCGGGCGCTTTCGGAACGAAATCACTGACGGGATTGAAAGGCGCGAGTGTCGCTGTCTTTGCCAGTCCTTTCCGGTGTCATTTGCCGGTGCTTGTCTCCGCGTTCGCCACCAGAGGGGGAGGCTGACGGAGGGGGAACGGGGCAGGGCGCGCCCGCGCACTAAACTGTTTCAGAGGGGGAGGGGCCTCTTTTGCCCGCATATCCGTGCACGCTGCACCCCTTTCAGCAGGAGTACGACGGTCAGCCAAACAGGGGAAGGACCGTGGAGCGTGGGGAAGGACCTTCTTCGGAGCATCTTCGATGCCAGCGACAAAAAGCTTGTTGTCACTCAAGTGGCTGGGCTGATGTCAGTCATTTTGAAGCACGTGGGTTGCAAATGTCCCGTAAATGACAATGATTATTGACTAGCTATTGACTGGGACGTCAGGGACCTGCAACAAAATGCTTTCACAATTATCGTTCCCTGAATTGCTGCGTCTGTTGCACTGCGTTCTTCGGGGCCTGCCCCGCGGTACTGCACACCAACATCTCCGCTATTGGCCATTAGTACTTGGAGGATTGGTGGGATGCAAAACTTAACCTCCCCAACCAGGACTGATCCGCACCCTGTGGCACACCCAGCCACCCCGACCCGCTCGGGGTTGTCCCCAACCGCCGCCCTTCCGATATTCTCAAGAATTGATCCTCTTTATTCGGAAGATAGTCTCAAGAACTGGCAGGTGTGTCCAGGCTCCATCCAAAAAGTTCCCTTGACGATTCAGCCAAGTTTGTGGAACTGCCGTTCTTGCAATTGCTGCCATGTTTTGGCATTGCTCCTTTTGCTGCCATCCCATTTTTGGCGACGATATTGCCAGCTTTTGTGCCGCTTGCTTCTGCTGCTCGCTCCGCCAGCCAGGCCGGCAAGCCTTTACATCACCGCGCATCGCGACTCTGTTTCAGTGCGGGTGGTGAAGAGGATGACCGCAAGGGGTATCTCCGATGGGAGGTCCCACTAGCCTACCAAACCGCATGGCCAGGGGCAAGGAAGGACGAGGGTGGTCCAACCCCTCATGTACCATTCCACCCAACAGCATCGTACTGACCGCTGAGAACGACGCCAGCGAGCTGACAAATGCTCACAACACACGCCTAAGGCTGCCGTCAGCCCATGCCCAGCTCCCGCCATACAAGTCGGACACCTCGCCCCGCCCCACCACTCCCAGAGGCGCGGCCTGCGGGCCAGTTCACCCCTCCCCCCCCCCAACCCCCAGCCCCAAACCCCCATAACCCCACCCCTTCACCCGCCCACCCGCCCACCACACACAGAACATCCCACAAACCCGCAGCCAAATCAGTTCCACCCCGCCGAATTCGATGCACGCGATGTCTCTGGCGCGCGGATCGCCGGCCGTGGTCCGCCTCGCGCCTCGGCTCCCACCCCGCCCGGCATGCAATCCCAATCTGCGAACGCCGGGGATCCGCACGTGGCCGCCGGCTAGCGACGCCGATCGCCGATCGCTCCGGGCGGGCGCAGCGGCCGTGGAAGAGGTCGCGCCCTCGGGGCGCCCGGAGCCGATCCCCGTGGAGGCATTCAGGCTGGCATGCCCCATTTGTACCGACACGGAATTCGAGTTGGTGCCCGGGAGCAGGGAGCGGCCGGCCTGTGGGCGGTGCGGGAGGGAGTTTGATGTTGCGGGAGACTTTGTGGATTTGACGCTGACGTCGGGCGCGGGGAGGATGGTGTACCAGGCGCCACAGTGGGCGGGCACGCGGACATTCAGGAGCCCACTGGTGCGGGGTCCGAATCGCTTATATCTTTTGTCTTCTGTATTTGGTGTTTTTAGCTTCTGCCAGTTAATCTCTATTTGTCGCTTCGTGTGTGGTTTGGTCCAAACGTTGCATAGCTGTTGAGTGGTTGTGGAATGGCGTGTCTGTTTGTCGTGGAGAAAGGCCGTGGTTGTGTGATGGGAAGCCCTGCCCTCATGAATTTGCCACAGGCTTTGCAGTCAGCTGTGGGTGACTGGGCTGCTGGTCAGGTACCTGGACGACACAAGTAGCCACACGATCTACCAAAACCCATCCAATGCGTTGTCAGCAAATGGATCGAAGTTCTGGCAGCCGCTGGAAAGTTGATGTCAAATCTCAGAGTTGTGCTTTGCTTTGGTCAGCATCTTATCTCAATCTGGGAAAATAGCATACCCTGCACCCGCAAGCCATGCCATGCCCCCACAGTTCTGAAATGTGCAAGATATTCTGCGGCAACTACCATGGTTGAGAATATCCCAGTCGTTGCCTTTTGGCAGACACCAGTGGGTTGAAGCGCCCCTCCACCGTAAGGAAGACAATCTGGCACCATCGCAATTTTGGCATGGCCTTGCTTCCAGACAGTTGCATTTGCTACTATGCACAGCTGAGAAACCACAAGGCTATGTGGGCCATTTGCTGTTTTCGATTGATTAACTGCTGTATTGTTTAGGTTGCTTGAAAAGCGCCAACCAAGCAGGTTCAGGCACCCCTCACAGCAGCAAATGTTTGCTCAACAATAGACTGTCGTTACTGGTGCTTCGTCACATTCAGTTTATACGGACCGTCTTGCCCCTCTGGATCAACCCTATGCCCATCCCTACCTCGGAGGTTTGAAGTGCAATGGCATTGCTTTTTGGCTGGATTCTGGGACAAGTGGCTCAGGTGCAGGTGCAGCAAGTGTTTGCCACAATTTGATGTTTACTTGTTATATCAATTTATTGGATTACGCACCAAAGAACTGTCTCTGCAGGTGAGCCTAGCGTACGAGCGTGGCTGGCGCCAGAGCTTCTCATCAGCAGGTTTCCCGGGCCCAGACCGCGAGTTTGAGATGGCGATGGAGTTTCTGGCACCGGTGGTGGGAGGCATTGTGATGGACCTCAGCTGTGGGTCAGGCCTGTTCACACGGCGCTTTGCGAATGAGGGTGCCTTTGCTGGTGTTATGGCAGTCGATTTTTCAGAATCGATGCTGCGGCAGGCACGACAGTACTTAAGGAGGGAGGCGGGGGAGCGCGGGGCGCCAGTGCTGCTGGTGCGGGCGGATGTCGGCAGGCTGCCTGTGGCAACTGGGTCCCTGGACGCCATCCACGCAGGTGCATTTTCCAGCGCAGAGAAACTGAAATGTTTCTGGGGAAGCAGACACAGGGCACTGTTGTTTAAGCAGTTTTTTTGGTAACATAGTTGCTATATTGAGCTCCTGTAGTTCAGTATTGTTGGACGATTATGCACTAAGCAATGTACCACATTGTCCCAAAGAGTGTTCATAACGCAGGGTGGCACAAATATCCAAGAGAGGTTTGGGGGAAGGGGGAAGAAGGGGTGGGTGGGGGTTGGGGGGTGGGGGGGTCAAGTTGAAGGGCTGCCGCGTGTGCCTGGAAGTTGCTGCTGGCTGTTTCTGCTGCAGTGAACAGAAATGCTCTTTGGAGATCTGCAGACAGATACGCGTGTATCTAAGCTGTCTTCAAGCCATTGACAGCCACCACATGGTTGTAAGTGTGCATTGAACAACGTCCCTGCATTGTATTTAACCTGAATGTGATGTGTTAGAAAGCCCATTCATCCCTGCAGGGATGTTTTAATGAATCTGGGAATTTGCAGCCATTTGTGACCCACATTAGCACTTATCCAAATTAGGGCTCTCGCTCACATCTTTGTGACAATGTGCCAGAGCATTAATTGGGGAGTGGAACCATTTTTTTTGCACGTGAAGATTTCACCGATTCTGTTATTGAAACGTTTGCGCATTCCTAATATGGCTATGTGTTAACCACGATTACATTCCTAACGAACAGACTGTTGCCCTGCAGCTGCGGCCATCCACTGCTGGCCTGACCCTCCCAACGCCTTCGCCGAGATCAGCCGCGCCCTGGCCCCCGGTGGCATCTTCGTTGCCTCCACCTTCCTTGACACCTTCTCCCCGCTAGGCCAGATCTTCGGCGACGAGAACGTGCGCCCACTGAAGCGCCTCGCCAGGCGGACCAACAACCTGTACCGCGCCTGGGAGGAGCAGGAGCTGCGGGACCTGACCGCATCAGTGGGCCTTATGGATTTCAAATGCAACAGGAGCAACAGGTTTATAATGTTCTCCGCCAGGAAGCCCGGTGGAGCCTGAGAGCACGTCCGGCCCAGTCATAACAGCTTTGTGGCATTGCATTCGAACGAACATCTGGGCGAATGCTCAGCCATTAAACTTGGTGCAGTGAAGGGTGTCCCAATTGTTGGATACCAGGACTGGGACCAAGCACCAATGATACACTTCGACCCTGATGGCAGAAGGGGTTTGAATGTTCGGCAGAAGTACTGGGCGATTAAAGTATTCTTTGCGGCTTGAGAGGAC